GGGGGGGCGAGGGGCGCAGCCCGTCCCCGCAGTCGTTTGCGGGAGAGCCCGGGCTATGCCGGCTGCGCTCCGCCCGACCCCGGCCAACGAATTTAACCCGTGGGGGCATCGTCCGGGCTTCAAAGCAAAACCCACCTCGGGAACGACACGCGGGGCTTCAAAACACGCGGAGTTTGGGCTGGTCCCGGGCGGGGAAGGGAGGAAAACACCCCTCGGCTCCAGACCCCGCTTGAGCCGCCGGCGGGGCTGAAACACGGCGGGTTTGCTCGGGGCGAGCCCCCCGCTCGGTCCCGGGGTGGGCGAGGGCAGCTCTGCCCCGCGTTTCGTGGCCTTTCGTTTCATTTCGTTTCTTTTCCCACGGAGGAGGAAGGGCCGAGCCCCCACCCCGACGGGAGCCGGCGGCCGGAGGCGGCGGGGATGGGCTGCAGGAGCCACCCCGGGACAGGGGCTCCCCGGGCCGGGGGTCTCCCCGGAGCCGTGCCCGGCGGCAGCAGTAACTCCAGGAGGCAGGAGAGTGAGGTAAAACGTGCATGATTTATTTGAAATGCTGCAGCGTACACAGACACCAAATTTCATTCAGCACACACACAGCGAAACGAAATCTCGTTTAATTTAAAAAAAAAAAAAAAAGGAAACGGAGGCAAATTTCTCTATTAAATATGCAAAGCAAAAAAAAAAAGAAAAGAAAAAAAAGAGTATTGCAGGACCTGTCATTCAAAAGAATAAAAATTTTAAAGAGTGTCAAAATAAACCTTCTCTCAATTTTTCGGAATTGTTCTCAACCTTTTTCCTATCAAGACTGAGACACTTTTACAGACTCAATATTAATTTATGACTTGTTTTGGATGACCTACATATGCAACCAAGAAAAACCCCACAACACAATTTCTCCCATAAAAAAGGTCACAATAACCTCTGTTCAAACATTATTTCTTTTCACCTTCTCAAGCTCCCACAAATGTGGTTGCTAGGCTGTTAAAATGGTTTCCCATTTGCCCAGTCCTACTCATATAGCCTTTTGGGTTTTGGTATCAAAACTCATACTGTACTGAACACGTTCTTAGGCCATGACCATACAGATGCGTGAACTCTGGAAATATGGCTCTTTCTCTAGTAACCTTGCTCTGTCAAAGAGACAGAAGTGACAATCAAATGCTAAGATGAACATTTCCAGTTAAGTTTTCTTTGTGGGAGCTCTGCAATGATAGATATACCATCTAGTTCATAACCCCACTATTTTTGTTTGTTGTACCTCCGTTGTTTCCATTTTCTCTAAATTTTAGCATTCTGGTTTGTGGCTGCAATCCACAATAGCTGTAATCCAAGGG